GTGTCGAGCCTGTCATGACGTGTTCATGACATACATACCACACATACACATAAAGACACTTTTACTTTCTTCCTTAGCCTTCCCCTACTAAAACAGCAGATGTGATTAAAGTATAAGCACATGCATGTATATTTGTGCACGCATGTGTTTGTAGATTATGTCTCCTTTTCTCCACCCCCACTGCTGGTGTTCTAGGTCAGGCCACTCTCATCCTAATTGCTCCCCAAAGCTATGACAACAGGTTCCTAACTGGTCTCCCGGCCTTGCGTCTTGCTCCACCTTGATCGTTTCTCCTCACTGGCTGCCAACTATGTAAAATTTCTTTATTCAACAAATATGTATCGAGTGCCTACTCCAAGCTGAATACTCTTCTGGACAATGTAGATACAGCAATGAACAAAACAGATGAAGCTCCTGTGTTCATGAAGTTTATATTCTAGTGGAAAAAGAGGGATGATAAGCAAATATATAAAATAATGGTGGTGGCAAGTACTGAGATCAATAATAATAATAATAATGGAGTGAGGAGATAGAATGACAATGGGCTATTTAAGATAGACTATTGGGGAGGTCTTTCCAAATACGTGACTTTTGAGCAAAGACTTGAATACAGTGAGGAAGTGAGTTGCCTGGATATCTGGGGGAAGAGCATTTCAGGCTGAGGGGAAAAGCAAGGGCGATTGCCTCCACATGGAACTGTGCTTTTTATGGAACAGAGAAGAAGCCCACGTAGGAGTGGCCCCTGAGATCCAGGAGGTAATAGGGGGCTTTGCACACATAGCACTCATGTTGCTCAGGATGCCCTACACTTTGGATTTCACTCTGAGTGAGATGGAAAGCAACTGGAAAGGAAAGATCTCATTTTACTCTGGCTGCTTTTTGGGGAAGAGTCTTTGGAAGTGGGGCTGGCAAGGGTGGAAGTGGGAAGACCATCTAGAATATTTCCTGTCACTGAAATACCTGTTCCCACAGTTGCTCACCTGGTAAGCACCTGTTCAACTTTTAAGCCTCAACTCAAAAGCCTCCCCTTCTATGGATCCTTTACCAAACCTTTCCCTTCCCCACTCCAGAGCCAACCTACCTCTCTTTAGGTCCCCAATCCCTCCAATGAACACTTAAGTGTACCTACCCTCCTTAACACTCTCCTTATTTGGTTCCAGGTCCTTCATCCTCCCAAGATTGCAAGTTATCAGAGGTCAGGGACCATCCCTAGTGCCCAACACAGCATGTGGCACATTAGAGGCATAAAATAACCACTGGTTGAATGAATGGATGCACTGGGTGAGGCACATGTGATGGGGAAGGATATGTTTGCAAGCTATTGTTAACCTGGATGAGTGAGATGCACAAATGTAGGGCCATGGGTTGTAATCAGACAAATGTTAGCATGTGCCCACATATTTCTGTATATTCTGTTCACATGTATATGTGTTAGCATGTATGTGCATGCTGACAAATCCCCATGTTGGTATAGACACTCCTGTAGATTTGTTAATGGATGTACATGTTAGAAAGTGCACCTATGTTGATATATCCCTATTATGGCACAGACAAGTAATATGCTCATGTACCTGTTCACGTGTATTGCTACGTGTTGTATGTGTGAGGCTTATGCACACACTTGGGCTCCCCTCTTGCTCACTATCCCTTTCATCCACTAGGCCCAACTTGTTGGATTTTGAAACCTCTGTAGCAATGTTAATATTTAAGTTCCCATCCGCTTTCCCCACAGACAGCTCTGAGCACCACAGCATCTGAACAGCCTGAAGCCTGGATTTCTTACTCGGCTATCCCCAAGGCCTTATAGGTTTTCCCTCTGCAAACTCCTTTCATATGATGGAGAAGAGCTGGCTCCCAAGGACATGAGAATTTGAGAGACCTCAGAGAGCCTACTTTCTGGAGAAGAGCTACAAGTAGCAGGGTGATCAAGTTCAAGGTAATGGGAAGACACTTTTGGGTAGCCCAACATTCAGTCAGAATTGGTCTCTCTCTCTCTTTCTCACATTTATTCACAGGTTTGGCTCAACTTGTGTACATATATTCATATGTGGTTGATACGGTACGTATATGCATGCCCCACATACATGCTCACATGCATGCTTACACTCACACATATGCATTACTGGATAAGCACACCACACACACACACAGACACACACACTAGTTTAATTCAGCAATTTCCTTCTCATTCACATATATACATGAATGCATACATAGAGTCATACATATATATACACACATTCACACTTATACAAATAAATGTGCTTATACACATATACACAGCATACTCACACATACTTATGGACATATACACAGTCATATACCCACTCACAGGCAGAAATACACATGCATGTCCATGGAGTCCCAGATCTTGCAGAGATATCCAGCCTCTCCCCTGGCTTCTATCCTGTCCACAAAGTTCGTATTCTCTCCAAGTACATCACAAGTTTGCGTTTGCTCTCTCCTCTTGCTAGTCTCCCACTTCTCTATTTGGAAAGTCGTTCCTGTTATCAATGAGATATACCCACTCCTGGACACATCCCATTCCCACCCACTCTCAGGGGGAAAAGAAACGTCACTTTTTTAAAAAGGGCTCTGTTATGCCCTCATCCCATGCCTAGAGAAACGAATATTTCCTCAGACAACCTTGGTAGGAGTAACAATAAAGTAGGTGTACCTCTTCAAACCCAGGAGACAATCCCCCCGTACACACAACCCCTTAACTCTAAAAAAGAAAGAATGAAAGAAAAGAAAGAGAAAATATCAAGGCCAAAGGCCTTCCTCCCAGTACCTCTGGGTAAAAGTCTAACACTCTCAAACTCCAAAACAGTTATTGGGGCAGAGGAAGAAACAGTAAGGAAATTAACTGTGGGCACTAAAACCTCCTAGGACACCCCTTTTCTTCCCTAGAGGGCAACTTCATGATGAGTGAACCCCTCCCTTCCCAGCCTGTGGGCCTTGCCAAGGGAGAGGTTAGACCAGGGGGCTTAAAAATGTAAAGGGGGTGACCTGGGCTCAAATAACAAAAGAAGCAAGTATTTTAAAAACAGACGCTGGGAAGGGAGCAGAGAGGCAAGCTGCAGACACCTCCTGGCAGGGAAGCAGTTGCTGGAACAGTGGATCAGGAAGAGCAGGACTCTCCAAGGGGCCAGGGAAAAGGGGGTGGACATCTAGCATTTCATGTGGGGGTGGAGGGGTGACTGCTTCAGGCAGGAGCAGCAGCTCCAAAGTAAAGTCTTATCAAAGCTGTTATGTAACCAAGGGAGCTGAGTGGAGCACAAACACCTCCCCTCCCCAAACAGGCACCCACACCCACACCCACCACCTCCCAGCACCCACAGCAGAGGAAAACTCAGCTCCTCCCAAGCAGCTAGAGAAGGCAGGAATCATCTTGATGAGTTACATCAAAAACATGATGGGTGAGGGGCTCCTTATGAACTACAAGTCACATCTGGGAAAGGATCAACTGGTTCAGTTTGAGGTCCCTAGATTCCTCTCCCTTTTCTTGAACTCTCTGCCACACCCAATTTTTGCCCAGTATTATCTGGAAACTGTCTCCTTCCTCTCCTCACAGGGAGGATCCCATTTGAATATTTGATTGTACTCTTGGGGATGGGAGGTGAAGCCACCATCAACTCTTCCTGCCTGTTATTCCCCTACAGACTCATCTGCATGTCCTGACATTTGGCTCTCATCCCCCTGGGATGACAAGGGAAGGGACCTTGAGAAATAACTCCTTGCTCTATTCCCTTCACGGTTACAAAGACAGTGCATAAGATACAGATACTTGAAATGACCCTGACTCTAAGTAATAAGGAGAAAGATATCCAAGAGAACTAAAGACTGAGATCCAGACCTCATCCCTCCATTTGAATATTTTTTACTCCCCCAGATCTTCCTCTTTTCCCACTGCCCTGTCTCCAGTAGCCTCCTCCTTCTCTTTTCCATGGCACTGAACAACCCCACCCACTCCTTGAATCTTTTGCTTAAAAATCTTCCTCCCCAACAAAAAGTATCTCCCAAATGCTGCTCTGAGCTAGGTTTGGAAATGGACAGAACACAAGACAGGCTTGCAGAATATTTCAGTGTCCCCTGTCCCAAATCCCAAAGTATGGTGGGCAAGGGAATATCAAGCGGTCAATCAAGTGATCCTGAACTCCTGAGCTGTAACCACCCCACACCTAAGCAGAAAGACCCAAGTTCCCTTAATCCAGAAGCACCTTGAGCCTGAATTTCTGGGCCCCAGTAGGTGAAAAGCTGGTATCAATATCTCTGAGCTTGTTGCGCTAAAAAACGTTCCCAGGAGATGAGATCTCACAGGCACAAAATCATTCTCCAACTCTACCCCAATAATAACAGTAGGATGGTTTTGGAAGGGAGAGGAGGAACTGAAACAGCAAAAGGGGAGAGGGGCCCCTTGGCGGAAGGGTTCCTAAATACCACTAACAACTGTGAGACCTAAAACATAAGAAGAACCCCAAATACATATTTCCATCCAGGGACTGTGCCCTTGGAAAGTGGGTCATCTGGGAGAATTTTTCTAGTGAGCCCTTCCCACTGCCCACCGCCTTTCCACCATCGGGACCAAACGAAGCCTCATTCAGCACTCGGGACAGCTCCGAAGGAGCAAATCCCCGCCGAGTCCCATTCAGCACCCGGGACAGTTCCCAGCGACATTCCCGGCCCCGGTATTCAGAAACCCAGGCTGCCAGGAAGGAACAGGCTTACCCCACCACACACCCTCTTTAGAACAGAAGCCCCTCTCCCCTGCCCCTCCCACTGTCGCTCCCATCCACCGGGGGCACCTGACAATCCCCCCCACCTTCCCTCTATGTCCCAAGAGAGAAAAGAAACCCAGACATGGGGCTTCCCTGAGCGAGCCTTGAGAGAGGACCCCACCCACCTTCCTTCAGCCCAGAGCCTCTCAACGCCACTCACAGCTGGTTCTAAAAACCACTTTCCTTCTTAATCACCACCCCAAAAATAAAAGAAATACTCACGTGGGGGCTTCCAGCCCTGCAGACAGATGTGGTGGGGGGAGGCAGAGAGAGGTAGCTCCCCAAACCCTGTTCTGAGCCCCCTTTCTGAAGGAGCCAGCTCCCATCTGGACTGGGGGGAGGAGAGACATGTGGAAGCACTGAGTGAGGGGAGGGGAGAGGGGAGAGGGGAAGAAGCAGGAGCGAGGGACTGCGGGGCGGGGGTGTCGAGATGGGGGCGAGGGAATCCTTTTTAATTGCATTCTCTCCCCATGTCTACATCAGCCCTGCAGGCTCAGCTCTTTAATATTTACACACAGGAAGAGGAGAGGATGAGAAAGAACAGAGAGTGAGGGGGGCAGAGACTACCTGAGCTCAAAGGGCATAGAAGCAGGGACCTTTGGGAGCTAGGAGCTTGGGTCCCCGACACCATCCCCAGCCCACTTCCACTCTGAGCTCTTGACTGGAAGGAAGAAGAAGGAACCCTGGGACCATTCTGTCCCTTTGTTAACAAGACACTTTGAAGCTGCATCAGAAAAAGATCAGATCCCCACCCACATACCTGGACACCCCCACAAACCCAGATTTCTTGGGTGCCTTATGTGCAGATGGTAGAGACAGTATTCAGGCACAAGCATGTTCTGAAGCTTGGAAGCATGTTTGCCTGTGGGCTGCTGTGTAAAAACACATGAACATGTCAGCTAGCATGTATAAGTTTATACAAGCGTGTTCTGAGTGTTTTCACATGTTAACAGCCCACGCAATCATATGCAAGCCTATGTAACCATATGTGTAAACCAGCTTCCAAGAAGCCTCCCCGCAGCTCTCCAGCTACAGTCCCAGGGACAAGGCCACCCACTTCTCCAGACTCCCTTATTCCCAGACCCCTCCCTCAAAGCCTCACTTTTTCTGTCTGTGACATGGGAAGAAGGGCTGGTAGGAAGAGATGCTGCATAGAGCCCAGGGGCCTGACAAGTTATTAGCAACGATGAGCTGGCAGCTCGTTACCATAACGATGGTGCCACTGCCTCACCCCAGCTCAAACCCAGACTCCCCAGACGGCAGGAGGCCCGCTGAGCCAGCAGCCTTCAGACTGGGGAGGGGCGGGGTGGATAAAGAGGAAATCAAGACATAATGCTTGCATAGTGGAGGGTACACAGCTGTTCTTCCAACCCCCACTGAGTGACAAAGCTTTGACTCTACCAAGTGGGAATGAAATCAGAATCTGGGAAGGTTTTCTGACCATGGGGATGGTAAGACCAGAAGGGGTCTTTGGAAGCTCCTCTAGGGAAAAGTTTTTATCATCATTTGCTCCCTTCACCACCTCACCCCCAAAAAACTAAAAAGCAACCAAATACGGGGCCCCTTGCTGAATTTCAGTCTCCCCACCTGTAATATGGGGGCAATCCCTTCATCATTTGTCCTAGACTCCTGGAAGATTTCATTAGAAAGGGTTTAGGGGTAACTACAGACCCTTCCTAAATCAGACAAGCCCCAGAAGTTTCTCTATTCATTAGGAACCCAATAAGGTAAGGAATAGTCCATCCAGCTAGAGGCAAAATGCATTGGAAATTGGGAAGGATGAAGGAAAACGAGCTTAGCCAGCTCGAGCCCCAACATCAGCTGGAAGAGATGATGTTAGGTGTCAGGCAGCCGCTGAAAGCAGGTACTAACACGAGAAAGTCTGGGAGTCTGGCCTGTAGCAGCTCCAGCCCCTCACCAGCAGGAATCAACACAAGACAAGCCCATGGCCTACCTCGGTGGTGGGTGTGGCTAGGAATCCCCATCCCCAGCGACATCTGTAGCGCCCTCTCTTTGGCAAGGAGTCCCAAGTTGAAAGATGTACAGCCTTAGGCTTTTTGAGTCTTCATTTCTTTTCCAAAAATCCCCTGTACTCAGCTCTGATGGGGGTGGGGAGAGTTCAGGAATAGAAGGCAACATGGAGGATTGCAAAGTTCCTGGTCTAAGATTAGCCTAGGAACCCACAAATTTGTTGTGTGACCTTGGGCAAATCCGCTCCCTTCTCAGGGCTTCAGAGTCCCCAGTTTGTAATGAAGACATTGGACCAAGTCAATTCTAAGGTTCCTCTCCTGGCCATCATTCTACAGCTACATACAAGCTCACTCCTTGGATGTGAGCCCCCTGGCACAAAATTCAGTGGGCCCTGCCTGCCAGATCAGTGGGGCAGTGGCGGGTGGGAGATGCGGGGGCTGTATGTGAGGCCGTTCATCCTATGTTCATGTTCCTTTTAGAAACACCTGCCACCCTAGCCCTCCCAGCTCCCTTTTTAGACCCTGATTCACTGCCAGCTCACGAAGCCTCTCCCTCCCCTCCCTCCTCTCCTTTCCCCCCCTCTCTCTTTTAGGCATTGGCAGCTGGGTGCAGAAGTAGCCCCAGCATTCAGGGAATGCTGCGCAGAGGTAGAGGGCAGTGCCCCCAGGGTCAGAGAGAGCACACCAGTAAGTACCACTCTCTAACCTTGGCCCAGCCCAGTGCTTTGGGTCACTGAAAGACCTGGGCTGAAGTCTTTCTGTACCACTGACTAGCAGTGTGTGGTTGTGGGAAATGCAATTCATTTCTCAAGCCTCAACATCCTCATCTGTAAATCGGCATTATATTTGGTTGAACCATGTGAAATTGCTGTTTTTGTAGGTTAAATAAAAACAGTTGAATATTGGCAATTTCATATGGCTTAACGTGATACCTGTCCTGCCTGCTTCCCAAGGCTGTTGGGGAAATAAGAAGAGTTCAGAGGGCAGCATTTTCAAAAGCCCTGAACTAATATGAGGGCATTATTTTATTATTATTACTTCAAAGAGCTTAGTACAGACCCACCCGGAGCCAGTGGACTGAACCAATGACCCAGAACTTGAAGGCTTGGGACTTGGAAGTCTGGGAGAGCGCCACCTGCTCTGATGACTAACAGGGCAGACGCTTCCACCTGGCCTCCTCATCTCCTAGCTCTAAAAGGCCCTCGGTGAAGCATTATTGAGATGACACAAGTTCCCAGGCCCCCAAAAGGAGAAGCAGCACACACAGGCACATACTCCAGCTCACCCCAGATCCCCCCTCCCACCCACCAGGGACCTCAGCATGCAGGAAGGACACGACCAACAACATCCCAGAGGGCACCCCCTGAGGTAGGTGAAGGTAGAGACTAAGATGGGGAGTGCCACATAGCTCTTGCCTGAATGAAGGGTCAAGGGTCCCCAGAGAAGGGGGGATGATCTGACCTCGGAAAAGTCTCATCTCCCTGTCCTATATCCCACCAGGAATGGGAGGACGGTGGGGGGACAAAGCACAGGTGTGGGTGATTCAGAGTTAACCGTGCTCAGATACACTCTCTCTCACACAGCCAACGCACGCGCGCACACTCGCACACACACACACACACAGTCACACAGGGCAGATACCGGGACCCACTCACAGAGATAGTCACACCGGCACACACATCCATTCACACACTCACAGAGACACACACGGGGACAACACACACTCATTCACTCACATGTCCACAGATACATACACAGTACCACCCTCCACACTCACGCTGCATACACCCACTAACATGCACACACACTCTCGCCCACAGTGGCACACGCACACACGGCATACACTCACCGGCACACACAATCACCCACAGACCCACACAGTGACACACTCGGCACAGACACACAGCGACACGCACTCACATTCACACACCTGCAGAGGAAACTTCTCTCCGGATCTCCCCAACACTACGACTTCCCCCCCCAACCAGCGGGCTACTCCCTCCCAGACCCAAGCCTCCAGCCGGGCGAGGGCTGGGCCGGGGCTGGCCTGCCCCCGCGGCACT